GATGTAAATCTACGTGATAGCAAACATTACAGAACGGCCCTACATGTTGCAGCTGCAAGTGGAAATGTTAAAATGGCCAATGTTTTAGTGAGCAAAGGTGCAGATATAAATGCACAAGATATAAATGGAAATTCGCCTTTAATGTTTGCCGTCGATAATAATCACACAGAAACTGCAGAATTCCTTATTAACCAGGGTGCAGATGTAAATCTACGTGATAGCAAACATTACAGAACGGCCCTACATGTTGCAGCTGCAAGTGGAAATGTTAAAATGGCCAATGTTTTAGTGAGCAACGGTGCAGATATAAATGCACAAGATATAAATGGATATTCGCCTTTAATGTTTGCCGTCGATAATAATCACACAGAAACTGTAGAATTCCTTATTAACCAGGGTGCAGATGTAAATCTACGTGGTGGCGAAAATAACAGAACGGCCCTGGATTTTGTAGCTGCAACTGGAAATGTTAAAATGGCCAATGTTTTAGTGAGCAACGGTGCAGATATAAATGCACAAGATATAAATGGATATTGGCCTTTAATGTTTGCTTTCATCACTAATCAAACAGAAACAGCAGAATTTCTTATTAACCAGGGAGCAGATGTAAATCTAGGTGGTAACAAAGATAAAAGAACGGTCCTACATGAAGCGGCTTTTACAGGAAATGTTACAATGGCCAATGTTTTAGTGAGCAACGGTGCAGATTTAAATGCACAAGATATAAATGGATATTCGCCTTTAATGTTTGCCGTCGATAATAATCACACAGAAATTGCAGAATTCCTTATTAACCAGGGTGCAGATGTAAATCTACGTGGTAGCAAAGATAACAGAACAGCCCTGCATGTTGCAGCTGCAACTGGAAATGTTAAAATGGCCAATGTTTTAGTGAGCAACGGTGCAGATATAAATGCACAAGATATAAATGGATATTGGCCTTTAATGTTTGCTTTCATCACTAATCAAACAGAAACAGCAGAATTTCTTATTAACCAGGGAGCAGATGTAAATCTAGGTGGTAACAAAGATAAAAGAACGGTCCTACATGAAGCGGCTTTTACAGGAAATGTTACAATGGCCAATGTTTTAGTGAGCAACGGTGCAGATTTAAATGCACAAGATATAAATGGATATTCGCCTTTAATGTTTGCCGTCGATAATAATCACACAGAAATTGCAGAATTCCTTATTAACCAGGGTGCAGATGTAAATCTACGTGGTAGCAAAGATAACAGAACAGCCCTGCATGTTGCAGCTGCAACTGGAAATGTTAAAATGGCCAATGTTTTAGTGAGCAACGGTGCAGATATAAATGCACAAGATATAAATGAAATGTCTCCTTTATTTACGGCAGTTTCCTTAAACCATGCGGAAATAGTTGAATTTTTATTAATTAAGGGAGCAAATACGAGTATTCGAGAAAAATAATAAGGAAACAGTGCTTTATATTTGGCGATATTAAAAAAAAAGTACAAATAAAAAATATTTTGGTTCGAAATGGGGCCGACTTAACAGCAATGGCAAGCTTGAAATTTATTGTAAAAACTTTTGATTTGTATTTTTTCTTTTAAGTATTAAATAAATATCTTGAATTGTAAGTAAAACTTTTGAAGAATATATTTTGAATTTTGCAATTCTGGCTAATTTTAATTTTAATATAGTATACCTATTTAAATTCTCCTTTTGTAAAAACATCAAAATCAATATATCATATCAATATAACTACCTATTTTACAATTAGTACAGTCATCTTAGTCAAAAAAAGGGATCAACCTCGGAATCTAACGGAATAAGCTGAATTTTTGTGAAAACCTTTATTTTAGCATTACAAATGTTGTCTCAAAAGTCACATATGCCAACGTGTGAGCGGCCTTAGATATTCAAGGTCAAAGGTCGCAAAAATCAGTTTTTTAAGAATATCTCGTTTTCTCTGCCTCCTATCGTATTTGCATTTATTATAAAAGTTGTAGAAAATAAAATTCTCTACAAATTTTGTTTACAAAATTTTTTTATACGTTGAACCGTTTTTGAGATAGAGGGCGCAGAGTGTGGAGCGCTCAGCCATACGTACCTTTAGCGCAAGATAAATCGTGAATCCCAATCTATTATACCGTTTTTTTAATTAATTATATAACAAATATTACTAAAATAAAAATTTAATACCTTATACTTATATTTATATTTCTTTTAAATCAAATATATTTTATCTTCATATACCTATATCTTACTCTCTAAAAATGAATTAGTTAAAAATGACTAATTTAATAGTTATTAGTGGCTGCTTTTTCACTTGTACCATGGTTAACCATGGAATACCATAGTATCCCAAAATTTAACAGCCAATTCTTATGTAAAATTGTCCCCTGAATCCGAAAATGTCGTCAAAAGTTAAAAAACTAGAACAGTTTTTGAGATATAGTCAATTTTCCATTTCATATGAAATTGACTATATCTCAAAAACTGCTCCACTTTCATAATTTTTGACGGTATTTTCGGATTCAAGGGACAATTTTACATAAGAATTGGCTGTTAAATTTCTTGATACCATGGTATTCCATGGTTAACCAAGGTACAAGTGAAAAAGCAGCCACTAACAACTATTAAATTAGTCATTTTTGACTAATTCATTTTTAGAGAGTATATTTTAATTTAATTTTAATGAAGGATAATTGAATCGGAGTAGGAAAAAATGTTTTTATTTATATCAATATATTATTATTATTATTATTATTATTATTAATCTTTATCTTCTTCATCCTCGTCTTCTTCAGGTTGGCCAGCAATTTCAGACCCATTCTCATCATCACTCTCCTCGTTATCATTGACATTAATTGTCATATCTTCAAAAACGTACTTATAACGCGTTTGTACTTTGCAGATTTTTTTGCCTTTGTTGCCTCATCCGCGACTTCACCACAAAATAAGCACAATATTTTAAAATCAAACACATCATTCCCTTTTTTACGAGGTACAGTTGATGACGTTGAAGGTCCAGTCTCTTCAAGGCGACGTTTTGCTGCTGCAATTTTACTATAGTACGTTATAGCGTACAATTTTCGACAGTCAATATGAACGTTCACAGAATTCAAAGTATTTAGGTAGTTTATGTTTATTTCTCTCAATAATTGCTTCTTTATTCTTTTTTTATACCGCGCACAAAAGTCACAGAATCACCTTCAGAAAGTAACTTATTACAAATAAAACACAAATCAGCCATGTTAACCTTTAAAATATTACGAATATTACTTGTCGCAACCCTAGACCTATACCTAGGGTCACAACTTGCTTTAAAATTTAATATAGGTATACCTAACCTTTTTATTTATAGCAAGCCCACTATAGTATTTCCAGGTCTGTTATTTTAAAAGCAATATCTGGATCCAAGAGATGACCAGAGACATATTTAAGGCAAATTCATTTAATGTCTTTTCTTCTTAAAATCCATTTATCATTAATTAGAATAACATTAGAATATATTAGAATGATTCACTTCATTATTTAATTATTTCAAATAATTAAATAATGAAGTAATGAATGAAATAATTTATTTGTATCTCAAAAGTAAGTAATATTTAATGACTGTTTTAAAAAAATATATAAAAATAAATATAAGGTATTAAATTGTAATTTAAGTAATATTTAATAAATAATTAATTAAAAAAACGGTATAATAGATTGGGATTCATGATTTACCTTGCGCTAAAGGTACGTATGGCTGAGCGCTCCACACTCTGCGCCCTCTATCTCAAAAACGATTGGACGTATAAAAAAATGTTTTAAACAAATTTTGTAGAGAATTTTATTTTCTACAATTTGTATAATAAATGCAAATACGATAGGAGGCAGAGAAAAGGAGATATTCTCAAAAAATTGATTTTTGCGACCTTTGACCTTGAATATCTAAGGTCGCTCACACGTTGGCATATGTGACTTTTGATACAACATTTGTAATGCTAAAATAAAGGTTTGTACAAAAATTCAGCTTATTCCGTTAGATTCCGAGGTGAAATGCCTATATGACTGGACTAAATCGTAAATTGTAGACATAAAAATACCTTTTGGAGTAAAATTTAAAAAATGTTTTTTTATCTTTTTAAATACGTAGTACGAATATAAAAAACGTCAATTTCATTATTTTTTATTTATAGCTAAAATAATTTTCTATAGGTAGGTACATACAAGTTTTTAAATTATTTTAGTTTAGTGTCCCTAAAATCTCTTTAAATAATAGAATTACAAAATAAGAAATAAAGTTTACTGTATACACCGTTTCCAAAGTTATATGCTCACCAGGTACATTTCTAATTCCTTTATTGTTGGAGCTAAACTGCCCGTCAAAATTAACGCATAATAAGTAAACAAATTCTAACTCTAAAACGCCTTTACCAAACTTATATTTCAGTTTAGGACCCAGCTAAATTTAAACCTGAAAGGTTTCTGAAGAATGGAAAAATTGTTAAACCCGATTATTTTCTACCATTTGGTGGGGGGAGAAGAAGTTGTATGGGCTACAAAATGGTACAATTGGTTTCTTTTGGCATTCTAAGTGATATTTTACAGAACTACACCGTGTTACCTGATGACGGTACTTCCTATGAAGTTCCAGTTGGGTCCCTGGCGTTACCGAAAAACACATTTAAATTCAAATTTATTTCAAGATAAAACGTATGGAAAACAATAAATATTAATTAATATATTGTGTTATGTTTTGCATTCCTTTTTACCTATTGTTCAAGTTCCTTAAAATATGGGGTTGAACCCTACAAAAAGCGATACTGGGTTTAGAAACTTCCTTGTAGAAGTAAATATGGGAGAAATTAAGTAAATAGATTGATAAGATAACTTTTATCACTCATTTGATTATCAAGTTGATGATATCATGAAATAAATATTATACTTATAAATTACTATTAGTTAAAGACGTTGCAAAAATTACCATGCATACTTACATAAATTATTATTTTTGACGTTGTGATTTTTTTGCTAAACAAAATACAATGGTAAGTTTATTTTTTATATAATTTAAAATCAAAAATCTAATTTGTACCATATTGTATGTATATTAGTATGGTTATTTGTATTTTGAATTGTACCTTAACATTCTGTTCTTACTTATGGTAATTTTTCGTAAGATAAAGTAAAGCTACATATTTAGTTTTTTTAATAATACCTCCAATAATTTGTAATTTTGATAAAGGAAAATTTTAGTTAATATATAATATGGGCAATAACACTCATATATTTTTAGGTTTAATAAAAAATAATATTTTTTATAATAATTATAAAAATAAAAAATAGCGTTATAATTTTCTAAAATTATTGTGTTGCCCTTGTAAAAGTAATAATAACAATTATTTTTATAATTGTTGCAGCAACATGCAAGTGCGAATGAAAATCCACCACCACACAGGGTAAGTAAATTAAAAAACTATTTTCTATTTATTAAATCCTGTAACTATTTTGCTCACTCAGTATTTGAAATAATTTTTATTCAAACAAAGTCGAATTGTTCAATTCTATGTCACTCTATTCCATATGTTCGTACTTTTAAATCTTACATATTGGTTTTATTGCTGTCTATATATACAGGGTAAATTTGGTGTACATAAAATATCGAAATAATAAATATTATAGGAATAAATTTATTATAAAAAACTTATTAATAGATTGATAAAATTGATGCGATAAATTTAATCATTCAGCTAAATAAATTAATTTGATAAACACTTATTACTCGTCATACAGGGTGTTTCAGGTTTTAGTAGTAACCTTCAACTACCCTGATAGCACACTTTATTCTAAGAATGTTTTTTAAACCTTCCAGTAAGAATATTCTTAGGATAATGCTATATTTCTTCCAAAGAACATGCTTAAAAGACATTTGGCATGATCCTAAGAATATTCTTACTGGCCTATAGGCAGGTTCTTAGAAGGTGCAAAGTTTTAGTGGTAAAAATTAGTCTACTCTAAACATAATATGTTTAGAGTAGACTAATTTTTACCACTAAAACTTTGCACCTTCTAAGAACCTGCCTATAGGCCAGTAAGAATATTCTTAGGATCATGCCAAATGTCTTTTAAGCATGTTCTTTGGAAGAAATATAGCATATTATGCTTAGAATGTTAAGAAAGTAATTGCTATAGAAAGTTCATTTAGGAATATTCCTGTTAAGCATATTTAGTTCAGTTACCTAAATAATAGTGAAATATACCATAAACTACATATAAAGGTATATACCTATACTTAAGTACCTAATTAGTAATTTGTATTAAATACTAAGTAAAAAACACAATTCAAAATATTTTTTTATAGTTATTTGTCAAATTAAAACAATATTCGATAACAAAAATACTTTTACTATAGGTATTTTATTTTATGTTAAAAATAAATATTTATTAATTTGTATACCGATTTTTTATATCTGAATTAACATTTTTATGTAGGTATAATAACCCTAACTACTTATCCCACAAAATTTTCCAATTTTACTTTTTATGAAATAATGTCATACAACTTATGGTTTAGAGGTCAAATTGTTTATTTAATATTTTTAAATAAATATTTATTAATATGTCGCAAAATTTAAGGGGACGACAAATACATTTCACTGTCATATTATGACAGTGAGGCGTATTTGTCTCCTGAAGAATTTTACGAATGTAGAATACAACATATTAGAACGTGGGTATCTGACATATTTGAAAATATTATCAAAAGCTTCCTAAGCTCCATAAGAAACCTTCTAAGAACATTCCAAAAACGTATTCTTAAAATGTTCTTAGGATGCTTTTTAGGAAGGTTTTAAGAAGCTTCTAAGAATCTAATTGCATCATTAAAAGGGTATCTATTGAATGTTTTAAAAGTCCCTAAGAACATTGTTAGCAATAAGGGAAGGTTCTAAGAATATTCCAGAATATTCCATTATTCCAGGTCACATCTTCTTAGAAGATTCTTAAAATCAAATTTTGCTATCAGGGTAGCAACTTATACCAACTTATTTTAACTAAAAAAATACTATGAATATTGCGCCTTTCTATTAATTTTCGCAAAAAAACTACTTACCCACCTTTTATTTTGATTCTAAATTACAGGCCCCATTATCTGGATTCATCTATGAAAAGAATATTTTGTCCCTATTCGCGATTCGCTGCGCATTGGACAAAACCATTAAGGATTTCAAAATTGGCACGAACCTCCAAAAAGATTTTGGATCATTGGACGACATTATAATCCACGTAGAACATAACGATGGAGAAAAGGAAATGTTCGTTTGCCAGCTTAAACACAAGAATGACCCCAACTTGAATTTAAACAAATTTATTACGGATTATCGTTCGATAAAAAGACAACACGAAAATGTCAAAATAAATATAATTATACATACAATCGTCCAAAAGAATTTCATAACACAGCATAAAGCATTGGAGGATGTTAGTTTGCCCAATTCAAAATTAAAAATGTTTAATACAAATGAAGAAGGATTACTGCATAAATACACTAGAAAAGGTTTAAATATCAGTGATAAAAGTATTACTGAAGATATGATACACGATTTTTTAACCAACTGCTTCGTTTTTTCAAAGCAAAGCAACAAGGACGAACTTATAGACATAATAAGAAAAGAGTTCAAAGAAAGCGTGAAAGACGAGCAGTTTCAGCTAATATTAACTTATTTCGATAGCTTTTATACATATATTAAAGGTAAAAAATTTATTTCAAAAGAAGAAATTGTGTGGATGTTGAAGGTTAAAATTTTGTACCCCTTCGTAGACCAGCTTCTTGAAAATGTTAATGATAACAATTGTATTGAAAACGGCAATTTAATAATAGAAACATTAAATTTATTTCATCTTTCTACATTGTCCGATGAATCGATTACTATAATTTTAAGAATTATAACTAAAATTATCGAAACTCGTTTCGACATCAAGAACTTCAGTAAAGAACTTTGGCATAAAAAATTACCGGAAAATATAACATTCGAAGAACCCTATTATCAAGCTTTGAAATATATTAAGAATAATGAATTATTATACAAGGACTTAATCTTTCTTTTATGGCTAAAAAAAGAAGCGCCTCTTCCATTAATCTACACCCACGAAAATAAACAACAAATAAATTTTGTGTTTCAACATTTTTTGCCCAACTCTTCTGTGGTATTACGAAATAAAACAAAATTTAACATTTCCATGGAAAATTTAAATATCTTCATCTTCAACAACATAAGAATGGACCTCAAAGAAAAGAATTTGGATCTAATAAAAATTAAACTTCATCCCGAGGAGTCAATTTCATTGAAAGAGTTAAACTTTACGGATGGCATTACTCCTGACGAATACGTAAAGCTTTGTTCAGCAAAAGAAATTAGTTTCAAGGCCAGCGACACCAAACCGTTTTATATTCCGAGAAAATTGGAACCTCTAATATTTAATGAAAACGTATTTAAAAACACAAATTTTCTATTTGTGGTCCATCCAAGCAGTTCTTCCCCATACAATGAAGAATATTTGAATAGTATATTTAAAAAAATTCGAAGCAAACTAGGGTCAATGCAATCAACATTTCAATTATCTACGGATCGACATGAACACCATGATAACTTATTAGAACTTTCAGATTTTTTGAAAATACGTTCTACAGACATCCAGTTCAAGTATACGACAGTGTATTCCAAAGAGTCAATATGGAAAACAAGAACTGATTTAAAGGACAAATTTAGAGGATCATATTGTTGCCTGCTTGAATTTCATGGAAATTTCTTATGTCATGCTTATAATGGAGATATTGAAACTTTAAGCCAATTCAAGGTAAATGAAAGTATCAATGAAAATGAATTATTAGAGTTAAATCTCCCTATAAGTATAATTCATGGGAATGCTGGTATGGGCAAATCTTCCATGCTCCATAACATGGAATATATCCTTCCAACAGAGTATTGCGTGGTTAATTTGACCAACAATAATACTTGGGGTGACAAAATTTTAAACGATAAGAAAATGTTAATAGAACATTTATTAATACACCAAGTTGGAACGGAAATGTTTAATCGTTTTAAACAATTTTTTACTGAACTATTCGAAAACAGAATAATAAATAAAAAAATGTATATAATTAAAGATGCTTTCGATGAAACGAATGCAAAAACTAATGTTGTAGATCAAATTTCTAACCTATTACAAGTTCCCATTGTCATTTCAACGAGACCAACGATGAAAAATATTTTGGAAAATGAACTTCATGCCCCGTCATTAAGCGTAATTCAATTTTCAAGAGAAGATCAAATACAGTTTCTTCAACAGTCCAATTCATTATCTGCCGATTACATCGTTGGTGTCATTGACGAATTGAAAGTGAAAAAAAGTTTTCTTGGAGTTCCATTATTATTAAAACTATTAGTGGAAATATTGCCTGACTTAAATGAAATTAAAAACATTAATTTAATTGTGTTATATGATGAATATTTAAAAAAATATATAAAACATTATAGGAACAGAGATAAAGACACCATAAAGTCTTTGGCGTTTCGAATATTTTTTAAGCAGCATTTTAGTAATTTTTTTAATGAAAAACAATTTAAAAGAGATTTCGAAGACTTTCAAAAAACAATTCAAGAAACGAAAGATAATATCATAGGCGGATTTAATATTGAAGAAGAACCATTATTTATACACCGAACGTTTGCAGAATTTTTATGTGCTCAGTATTTAAGTGAAATATGCCTAGAAAACAATTTTATAAATATTTTTGAGGAAATATTAAAGGATATAAATTTGGATCAAGTTAAATATTTCTTTGATTTAATCCTTTGTCAAGACTTGCCCTTGCATTTTGCTGCCTTAAGAAACGATGTCAAACATCTATCAATGATGAATGATGATGACAATATAATAAAAACAGATAGGTTCGGTAGGACTGTACTACATATTGTGGCCACTTATGGGAGTTATGATAATTTTATAAGGAATCCCAAGAATTTTATAAATAGTATATCTTTTACAAAGAAAAGTAATCCATTTATAAATGCAGATATTATAATGGACACACTTTTGAAGAAAAGTTTTGCAAAGAATATAATTTTTGATAATTTTGATAAATTAAACAATAATGTCATAAATTACATTTGGATAACAAAAGGTCTTAATATTCTGAACACAATATGCATTAATGTTATTGATATTGATATTAATTTACCAACATCGTACGAAGATGAATTTCTCTGCATTATTATGGCTTCTGATCGTTACGAATTACTTAATGTTTTAATGAATCAGCCTTATATTAAAGAAAAAATAATTAAAAATACCGTAAAGTTTTTAGACCAAGAAATAAATTCTTTGTATTTATCAATAAATAACAATAGTGTTGGTATCACAAAACTTTTAATTCGTAATGGGATAAATATCAATAAAAAGAATAGGTATGGTTTATCGGCCTTATCATTAGCAGCTATAAATGGAGATTTAGAAATAGTCAAGGATTTAATAGAAAACGGTGCAGAAATAAATGCACAGGAAATAAATAATTTTTCGCCTTTAAAGTTTGCTGTCAACGGAAATCATACAAAAATTGCAGAATTCCTTATTAACCAGGGTGCAGATGTAAATCTACGTGATAGCAAACATTACAGAACGGCCCTACATGTTGCAGCTGCAAGTGGAAATGTTAAAATGGCCAATGTTTTAGTGAGCAAAGGTGCAGATATAAATGCACAAGATATAAATGGAAATTCGCCTTTAATGTTTGCCGTCGATAATAATCACACAGAAACTGCAGAATTCCTTATTAACCAGGGTGCAGATGTAAATCTACGTGATAGCAAACATTACAGAACGGCCCTACATGTTGCAGCTGCAAGTGGAAATGTTAAAATGGCCAATGTTTTAGTGAGCAACGGTGCAGATATAAATGCCCAAGATATAAATGGAAATTCGCCTTTAATGTTTGCCGTCGATAATAATCACACAGAAACTGCAGAATTCCTTATTAACCAGGGTGCAAATGTAAATCTACGTGATAGCAAAGATAAAAGAATGGCCCTGCATGTTGCAGCTGCAACTGGAAATGTAGAAATCGCCAATGTTTTAGTGAGCAACGGTGCAGATACAAATGCACAAGATATAAATAGATATTCGCCTTTAATGTTTGCCGTCGATAATAATCACACAGAAACTGTAGAATTCCTTATTAACCAGGGTGCAGATGTAAATCTACGTGGTGGCGAAAATAACAGAACGGCCCTGGATTTTGTAGCTGCAACTGGAAATGTTAAAATGGCCAATGTTTTAGTGAGCAACGGTGCCGATATAAATGCACAAGATATAAATGGATATTGGCCTTTAATGTTTGCTATTATCACTAATCAAACAGAAACAGCAGAATTTCTTATTAACCAGGGTGCAGATGTAAATCTAGGTAGTAACAAAGATAAAAGAACGGTCCTACATGAAGCGGCTTTTACAGGAAATGTTACAATGGCCAATGTTTTAGTGAGCAACGGTGCAGATTTAAATGCACAAGATATAAATGGATATTCGCCTTTAATGTTTGCCGTCGATAATAATCACACAGAAATTGCAGAATTCCTTATTAACCAGGGTGCAGATGTAAATCTACGTGGTAGCAAAGATAACAGAACAGCCCTGCATGTTGCAGCTGCAACTGGAAATGTTAAAATGGCCAATGTTTTAGTGAGCAACGGTGCAGATATAAATGCACAAGATATAAATGAAATGTCTCCTATATTTACGGCAGTTTCCTTAAACCATGCGGAAATAGTTGAATTTTTATTAATTAAGGGAGCAAATACGAGTATTCGAGAAAAATAATAAGGAAACAGTGCTTTATATTTGGCGATATTAAAAAAAAACGTACAAATAAAAAATATTTTGGTTCGAAATGGGGCCGACTTAACAGCAATGGCAAGCTTGAAATTTATTGTAAAAACTTTTGATTTGTATTTTTTTGAAGAATATATTTTGAGTTTTGCAATTCTTGCTACTTTTAATTTTATTATAGTATATTTCTCCTTTTGTAAAAACATCAAAATCAATATATCATATCAATATAACTACCTATTTTACAATCGTAAATTGTAGACATAAAAATACCTTTCGGAGTAAAATTTAAAAAATGTTTTTTAACTTTTTAAATACGTAGTACGAATATAAAAAACGTCAATTTCATTATTTTTTATTTATAGCTAAAATAATTTTCTATAGGTAGGTACCTACAAGTTTTTAAATTATTTTAGTTTAGTGTCCCTAAAATCTCTTTAAATAATAGAATTACAAAATAAGAAATAAAGTTTACTGTATACACCGTTTCCAAAGTTATATGCTCACCAGGTACATATCTAACTCCTTTATTGTTGGAGCTAAACTGCCCGTCAAAATTAACGCATAATAAGTAAACAAATTCTACCTCTAAAACGCCTTTACCAAACTTCAACTTATATTTCAGTTTAGGACCCAGCTAAATTTAATCCTGAAAGGTTTCTAAAGAATGAAAAAATTGTGAAACCCGATTATTTTCTACCATTTGGAGGTGGAAAAAGAAGTTGTATGGGCTACAAAATGGTACAATTGGTCTCTTTTGGCATTCTAAGTGATATTTTACAGAACTACACCGTATTACCTGATGACGGTACTTCCTATGAAGTTCCAGTTACCGAAAAACACATTTAAATTCAAATTTATTTCAAGATAAAACGTATGGACAACAATAAATTAAACTATAAACTATTTAATATTTTGTGTTATGTTTTGCATTTCTTTTTACCTATGGTCCTTAAAATATGGGGTTCAACCCTATAGGGTTGAACCTAAAGGTATTTAATTGAATTTGTGAGTAAAATTTGTAATTAATATATTTTGAATTTTGCAATTCTGACTACTTTTAATTTCATTATTTATTTCTCCTTTTGAAAAAATATCAAAATAAATATAACATTGTATATTTTACAATAATAAATTGTAGAAATAAAAAATCCTTTTGGAGTACAATGTAAAAATATTTTTTTAATTTTTTAAATACGTAGTACGAATATAAAAAACGTTTAGAGTCAATTTCATTATTTTTTATTTATAGCTAAAATAATTACTTTAAAACATTTTATTTTACAAAAAAGTGTCCCTTAAATCTATAAATAATATATTATTTCTAATTCTAATTCTATAGAATTACAGAATAAGAAATAAACGTCGGGTTTCCGAAATATTCACAAAAATAACGTTTTTTAAATAGGACACCCTGTATATTTTTACATATTTTAAAAGACAGAATTTGGAACAAAAAATTATAATTGCAAAACTTGAAAATAAACAATTAACAAGCCCTTAAACTGTCTTCAAAATATAGGGAAGGACTTTTCAAGACTAAACATTGGACCCTGGGACATTCCACGAAAATTTTAACTTTTTTGTAAAAATTAAACATTTAATATTTAATATATAAATATTAAATTTTAAGGGCTTAAAATAAACAAAAACAACAAATACAAACTAAATATTAAAATTAAAATTCAGTATTTATTTACGAACTTGAACTTTATTTATTATTTATTTTCAATGTAAAATATAAGTAAATAATTTGGCTTTGTATTAATGATCTGTCTCTTTTTAAAAACTTTCTAACTTAAAATTTATTTAAATAAGTGTTTATTGTTAAGCTTGTTTAACGTTTATCCAAAGAAGGTAAGTTTTTATTTGTTAAATTAATTGTTTTAATTGACATGCCTATTTGTCCCACCCGTCACACTACGGCGTGTTTTGTAACTTTTTAAGTTAATCTATTTAAAAATCAGTTATCAGTTATTGTTAATGCATATAATATAAATATATATGTATATATATATATATATATATATCCTTGCTTGGCAAAGAAATATAAATCTTATATAAAAATATATCTTATTTAAATTCAAAAAATTCAATATTTAAACATTGTTAAAAATGGACTACAAAAACTAATAAATAAGGTTTTTTCTTGTTACCCTTGGAAATGCTAAAACTATCTTTTATTTAGATATGGATTCAGCTGTAGCTGCACGAAAAAGTGGAGATAAAATTAAAACAGACCCTATGAAATATATAAAATTTATAAACAATTAAAAAACTAGTGATATAAAAGAAGGGCTGAAAGAAACAACTAATTGAAAAATACAGAAGATTTAAACGCTGCCTCACGGAAAAACAAACTAAATTAAATTTTACAACAACTATATTGTAAAAAAAATGTTTAATTATTTAATACAATTGTTTTGAAATTAACTAAAACTTAAAGCATTTATATCAACGTATAATTTATTTAAAGTACACAATTTTGGAGCACGGCAAATCTGTATTATTTTTAATAAAGAATGGCATTAGTCAATACAATTTTTATTAAAATATAAAACAATATTAATTTAAAACAGAAATTGTAGTAATTTAACTACAATATATAATTATATCTTCAATAAATTGTTGTTTTTTTCTATTACAAAATTGTTAAATTATTTCCAACAAATTGTTCTTGGTCGTATTGTTTAAACAATTTATACCAGAAAATTCTACAATTGTAGTACTTTTCACAACATTTTTTTTTCCGTGCTGTGGGTGGCTTAATAACGCCAAAGAAAAGATGCCATTTTAAGTAATAATTTATCTCATGATAAGTCTTTAGTCTGGACTTTTACAAAGAAAATAGTTTCCCATTAAAAAATTAAATCCACTTTAGATCATATAACATTTTTTACCGACGGTTGTGCTGGGCAATTTAAAAATCCATATATCTTGTCTAATATGTGTAACGCGCCTCATGATTGGGGTTTAAATGTTGATTGGGCATTTTTTGTTATAACATGGTATATGGTATACCAGTCATGAAAAAGGCGCAATGGGTAAGGTTGGTGCATCGGCTAAAAAAAAATTGTGGTCAAAAATTAAATCCAGAAAAGGACAATTAATACTCCAAAGGAATGTTTTGAGTATTTAAAATATCATAAAAATTTATAATTGTTTTTACATAGATAAATGGAAGAATATAAAACCCATACCTAATCTTCATTTACAACATTTTTTAGAGCTAAAAATGAAAATCTTTTACATAGTGTAACAGCATATTTAAAACAAAATCTTCAATGCATATTATAGGGTTAAATAATGTTTTTTCTTATAAATTTAAATTAAATAAAGTAGTAATATATTTCCTAACCTTATTATTTTCAACTTGTCCCACCCGTCACATAATAATGTCCCACCCGTCACATTTTTAATATCGCATTATATTTTTTATTGACTTTATCAACATGTTTTTAAAAAATATATATAAACGCATTATATAGTACAAAGACTTATGTAACAAAAAAATTTAAACATATTATAGTTTTGTATAATTTAGCAGAATTTTGCTTCCAAGCAATAAGTCATAAAAATATCGTTTTATGCTTGTCCCACCCGTCACAATAAAAAATTACTTTATAAAACTAAAAAAGTCTATAAAACTAAATAGTGTGACAAGAAACTTGTATTGTTTATTTAGATGTTGTATGGGTGTTTAAATATATCAGGGTTCCATGGATAAAAAAGCTTACAATAATAAAATATAAATTGAATAAACATATACAAATTAGTACAAGTGTCCCACCCGTCACATGGAATGACCCCCCTGTAAATATTTTTATCTTATCAAAAAACAGACAAAAAAATACAAGATAAATGAGCTCTACAAATTTATATACTTGACATTTTAAATATTTTGCATATTTAACAAGTTCAAATCTAATAATTACATATATTTAAAGGAAAAAGGAAAAGGAAAAAGGATGTGGAACATTTTATCACTGATATGTTTATTAAGTTGATGATATCATGAAATAAATATTATACTTATAAATTACTATTAGTTAAAGACGTTGCAAAAATTACCATGCATACTTACATAAATTATTATTTTTGACGTTGTGATTTTTTTCTTAAACAAAATACAATGGTAGGTTTATTTTTTATATAATTCAAAATCAAAAATCTAATTTGTACCATATTGTATGTATATTAGTATGGTTATTTGTATTTTAAATTGTGCCTTAACTTATGGTAATTTTTCGTAAAATAAATTAAAGCTACATGTTTAGTTTTTTTTAATAATACCTCCAATAATTTGTAATTTTGATAAAGGAAAAATTTTAGTTAATTTATATGTGCAATAACACTCATATATTTTTAGGTTTGATAAAAAATAATATTTTTTATAATAATTATAAAAATAAAAAATAACGTTATGATCTTCTAAAATTATTGTGTTGCCCTTGTAGAAGTAATAATAAAAATTATTTTTATAATTGCAGCAATCGTTTGAATATCAATATGAGACGGCGATTGAAAATCCACCACACAGAGTAAGTAAATTATAATCTATTTATTAAATCCTATAACTATTTTGCTCTCTCAGTATTTTAAATAATTTTTATTCAAACATAGTCGAATTGTTACACTCTATTTCACTCTATTCCATATGTTCGTAGTTTTAAATGTTACATATTGGCTTTATTGCTGTCTATATATACAGGGTGAATAATTAAAAATCACTTATTTGTAAATTTTTAAGTTAAATTTTGAAAACAAACGTCTAAAGAATTTTGACGTCATCTTATTTTTTACATACACATTAAAATTAATAAATTTAGGTCGAAAAAATTTGGTGAACATAAAATATAGAAATAATAAATATTATAGGAATAAATTTATTATAAAAAACTTATTAATAGATTGATAAAATTGATGCGATAAATTTAATCATTCAGCTAAATAAATTAATTTGATACACACTTATCACTCATCATACAGGGTGTTTCACGTTTTAGTAGCAACCTTCAACTAGGAATACTTCACCAACTTATTTTAACTAAAAAAAACTTTGAAACTTTGTTTGCGCCTTTTTAACATATTAGGTGTTGAAGTATTTTCTTTGGTATCTTAATTATTTAAATTAATTTTAAATTCATTGAAGCAGTGGCGTGCCAAATTTAAAAATCAGATATTTAAAGAAATGCAACACTGTATCTCGGAAAGGGAACCTTTTCGGTAACTAGTTAATAGCAGGTTTTTTTTATTTTCTTCCTCAAACAAGTTATAATTTAAAATTTATTTTATAATAGTGAAATACGTATTTTAATAACCTTTCATTTTTATTCTAAATTACAGGGCCCATTATCTGGATTCACCTATGAAAAGAATATTTTGTCCCTATTCGCAATTCGCTGCGCATTGGACAAAACCATCAAGGATTTCAAAATTGGAACAAACCTCAAAAATTTTGGATCATTGGATGACATCATAATCGACGTAGAACATAACGATGGAGAAAAGGAAATGTTTGTTTGTCAGCTTAAACACAAGAATGACCCCAACTTGAATTTAAACAAATTTATTACGGATTATCGTTCGATAAAAAGACAACACGAAAATGTCAAAATAAATATAATCATACATACAATCGTCCAAAAGAATCTCATAACACAGCATAAAGCATTGGAGGATGTTAGTTTGTCCAATTCAAAATTAAAAATGTTTAATACAAATGAAGAAGGGTTACTGCATAAATACACTGGAAAAGGTTTAAATATCAGTGATAAAAGTATTACTGAAGATATGATACACGATTTTTTAACCAACTGCTTCGTTTTTTCAAAGCAAAGCAACAAGGACGAACTTATAGACATAATAAGAAAAGAGTTCAAAGAAAGCGTGAAAGACGAGCAGTTTCAGCTAATATTAACTTATTTCGATAGCTTTTATACATATATTAAAGGTAAAAAATTTATTTCAAAAGAAGAAATTGTGTGGATGTTGAAGGTTAAAATTTTGTACCCCTTCGTAGACCAGCTTCTTGAAAATGTTAATGATAACAATTGTATTGAAAACGGCAATTTAATAATAGAAACATTAAATTTATTTCATCTTTCTACATTGTCCGATGAATCGATTACTATAATTTTAAGAATTATAACTAAAATTATCGAAACTCATTTCGACATCAAGAACTTCAGTAAAGAACTTTGGCATAAAAAATTACCGGAAAATATAACATTCGAAGAACCCTATTATCAAGCTTTGAAATATATTAAAAATAATGAATTATTATACAAAGACTTAATCTTTCTTTTATGGCTAAAAAAAGAAGCGCCTCTTCCATTAATCTACACCCACGAAAATAAACAACAAATAAATTTTGTGTTTCAACATTTTTTGCCCAACTCTTCTGTGGTATTACGAAATAAAACAAAATTTAACATTTCTATGGAAAATTTAAATATCTTTATCTTCAACAACATAAGAATGGACCTTAAAGAAAATAATTTGGATCTAATAAAAATTAAACTTCATCCCGAGGAGTCAATTTCATTGAAAGAGTTAAACTTTACGGATGGCATTACTCCTGACGAATACGTAAAGCTTTGTTCAGCAAAAGAAATTAGTTTCAAGGCCAGCGACACCAAACCGTTTTATATTCCGAGAAAATTGGAACCTCTAATATTTAATGAAAACGTATTTAAAAACACAAATTTTCTATTTGTGGTCCATCCAAGCAGTTCTTCCCCATACAATGAAGAATATTTGAATAGTTTATTTAAAAAAATTCGAAGCAAACTAGGGTCAATGGAATCAACATTTCAATTATCTACGGATCGACATGAACACCAGGATAACTTATTAGAACTTTCAGATTTTTTGAAAATACGTTCTACAGACATCCAGTTCAAGTATACGACAGTGTATTCCAAAGAGTCAATATGGAAAACAAGAACTGATTTAAAGGACAAATTTAGAGGATCATATTGTTGCCTGCTTGAATTTCATGGACATTTCTTATGTCATGCTTATAATGGAGATATTGAAACTTTAAGCCAATTCAAGGTAAATGAAAGTATCAATGAAAATGAATTATTAGAGTTAAATTTTCCTATAAGTATAATTCATGGAAATGCTGGTATGGGCAAATCTTCCATGCTCCATAACATGGAATATATCCTTCCAAAAGAGTATTGCGTGGTTAATTTGACCAACATTTGGGATGATAAAATTTTAAACGATAAGAAAATGTTAATAGAACATTTATTAATACACCAAGTTGGAACGGAAATGTTTAATCGTTTTAAACAATTTTTTACTGAACTATTCGAAAACAGAATAATAAATAAAAAATTGTATATAATTAAGGATGCTTTCGATGAAACGAATCAAAAAACTAATGTTGTAAATCAAATTTCTAACTTATTACAAGTTCCAATTGTCATTTCAACGAGACCAACGATGAAAAATATTTTGGAAAATGAACTTCATGCCCCGTCATTAAACGTAATTCAATTTTCAAGAGAAGATCAAATACAGTTTCTTCAACAGTCCAATTCGTTATCTGCCGATTACATCATTGGTGTCATTGACGAATTGAAAGTGGAAAAAAGTTTTCTTGGAGTTCCATTATTATTAAAACTATTAGTGGAAATATTGCCCGACTTAAATGAAATTAAAAACATTAATTTAATTGTGTTATATGATAAATATTTAAAAAAATATATGAAACATTATAGGAACAGAGATGAAGACACCATAAAGTCTTTGGCGTTTCGAATATTTTTTAAGCATCATTTTAGTAATTTTTTTAATGAAAAACAATTTAAAAGAGATTTCGAAGACTTTCAAAAAACAGTTCAAGAAACGAAAGATAATATCATAGGCGGATTTAATATTGAAGAAGAACCAATATTTATACACCGAACGTTTGCAGAGTTTTTATGTGCTCAGTATTTAAGTGAAATATGCCTAGAAAACAATTTTAGAAATATTTTTGAGGAAATATTAAAGGATATAAATTTGGATCAAGTTAAATATTTCTTTGATTTAATCCTTTGTCAAGACTTGCCTTTGCATTTTGCTGCCTTAAGAAACGATGTCAAACATCTATCAATGATGAATGATGATGACAATATAATAAAAACAGATAGGTTGGGTAGGACTGTACTACATATTGTGGCCACTTATGGGAGTTATGATAATTTTATAAGGAATCCCATTGATTATAGAATTAATATATCTTTTACAAAGAAAAGTAATCCTTTTATAAATGCGGATATTATAATGGACACACTCTTGAAAAAAAGTTTTGCAAAGAATATAATTTTTGATAATTTTGATAAATTAAACAATAATGTCATAAATTACATTTGGCTAACCAAAGGTCTTAATATTTTGAACACAATATGCATTTACGTTATTGATATTAATTTACCAAAATCTAACGAAGATGAATTTCTCTGCATTATTATGGCTTCTAATCGTTACAAATTACTTAAGGTTTTAATGAACCAGCCTTATATAAAGGAAAAAATAATTAAAAATACTATAGAGTTTTTAGACCAACAAATAAATGCTTTGCATTTATCAGTATTTAACAATAGTGTAGATATCACAAAACTTTTAATTCGTAATGGGGTAAATATCAATAAAAATAATAGATATGGTGTATCGGCCTTATCATTAGCAACTATAAATGGAAATTTGGAAATAGTCAAGGATTTAGTAAGGAACCATGCAGATATAAATGCACAAGATATAGATGGATTATCGCCTTTAATGTTTGCCGTCGATAATAATCACACAGAAACTGCAGAATACCTTATTAACCAGGGTGCAGATGTTAATCTACGTGATAGCAAATATACCGGAACGGCCCTGCATTTTGCAGCTGCAACTGGAAATGTTGAAATCGCCAAAGTTTTATTGAGCAAGAAAGCAGATATAGATGCACAAGATATAAATGGAAATTCGCCTTTAATGTTTGCCGTCAGTAATAATCACACAGAAACTGCAAAATTCCTTATTAACCAGGGTGCAGATGTAAATCTACGTGATAGCAAAGATAACGCAACGGCCCTGCATGATGCAGCTTTAACTGAAAATGTTGAAATCGCCAATGTTTTATTGAGCAAGGATGCAGATATAGATGCACAAGATATAAATGGAAAGTCGCCTTTAATTTTTGCCGTCAGTAATAATCACACAGAAACTGCAAAATTCCTTATTAACAAGGGTGCAGATGTAAATCTACGTGGTAGCAAAGATAACGCAACGGCCCTGCATGATGCAGCTGCAACTGGAAATGTTGAAATCGCCAAAGTTTTATTGAGCAAGGATGCAGATATAGATGCACAAGATATAAATGAATTTTCGCCTTTAATGTTTGCCGTCAATAAAAATCACACAGAAACTGCAAAATTCCTTATTAACCATGGTGCAGATGTAAATCTACGTAGTAGCAAATATAACGCAACGGCCCTGCATGATGCAGCTGCAACTGGAAATGTTGAAATCGCCAAAGTTTTATTGAGCAAGAAAGCAGATATAGATGCACAAGATATAAATGGAAATTCGCCTTTAATGTTTGCCGTCAATAAAAATCACACAGAAACTGCAGAATTTCTTATTAACCAGGGTGCAAATGTAAATCTACGTGGTAGCAAAGATAAAATAATGGCCCTGCATGTTGCAGCTGCAACTGGAAATGTTGAAATCGTCAATGTTTTAGTAAGCAACGGTGCAGATATAGATGCACAAGATATAAATGGAAAGTCGCCTTTAATTTATGCCGTCCGTAAAAATCACACAGAAACTGCAAAATTCCTTATTAACAAGGGTGCAGATGTAAATCTACGTGGTAGCAAAGATAACGCAACGGCCCTGCATGATGCAGCTGCAACTGGAAATGTTGAAATCGCCAAAGTTTTATTGAGCAAGGATGCAGATATAGATGCACAAGATATAAATGGATGTTCGCCTTTAATTTTTGCCGTCAGTAAAAATCACACAGAAACTGCAAAATTCCTTATTAACCAGGGTGCAGATGTAAATCTACGTGATAGCAAAGATAACGCAACGGCCCTGCATGATGCAGCTTTAACTGAAAATGTTGAAATCGCCAATGTTTTATTGAGCAAGGATGCAGATATAGATGCACAAGATATAAATGGAAAGTCGCCTTTAATTTTTGCCGTCAGTAATAATCACACAGAAACTGCAAAATTCCTTATTAACAAGGGTGCAGATGTAAATCTACGTGGTAGCAAAGATAACGCAACGGCCCTGCATGATGCAGCTGCAACTGGAAATGTTGAAATCGCCAAAGTTTTATTGAGCAAGGATGCAGATATAGATGCACAAGATATAAATGGATATTCGCCTTTAATGTTTGCCGTCATTAAAAATCACACAGAAACTGCAAAATTCCTTATTAACCATGGTGCAGATGTAAATCTACGTAGTAGCAAATATAACAGAACGGCCCTGCATGATGCAGCTGCAACTGGAAATGTTGAAATCGCCAAAGTTTTATTGAGCAAGGATGCAGATATAGATGCACAAGATATAAATGGATATTCGCCTTTAATGTTTGCCGTCAATAAAAATCACACAGAAACTGCAAAATTCCTTATTAACCATGGTGCAGATGTAAATCTACGTAGTAGCAAATATAACAGCACGGCCCTGCATGATGCAGCTGCAACTGAAAATGTTGAAATCGCCAAAGTTTTATTGAGCAAGGATGCAGATATAGATGCACAAGATATAAATGGATATTCGCCTTTAATGTTTGCCGTCATTAAAAATCACACAGAAACTGCAAAATTCCTTATTAACAAGGGTGCAGATGTAAATCTACGTGGTAGCAAAAGTAACGCAACGGCCCTGCATGTTGCAGCTGCAACTGGAAATGTTGAAATCGCCAAAGTTTTATTGAGCAAGGATGCAGATATAGATGCACAAGATATAAATGGATATTCGCCTTTAATTTATGCCGTCCGTAAAAATCACACAGAAACTGCAAAATTCCTTATTAACAAGGGTGCAGATGTAAATCTACGTGGTAGCAAAGATAACGCAACGGCCCTGCATGATGCAGCTGCAACTGGAAATGTTGAAATCGCCAATGTTTTAGTGAGCAACGGTGCCGATATAAATGCACAAGATATAAATGGATATTCGCCTTTAATGTGTGCCGTCAGTAATAATCACACAGAAACTGCAGAATCCCTTATTAACCAGGGTGCAGATGTAAAACTATGTTGTAGCAAAGATAAAAGAATGGCCCTGCATGTTGCAGCTGCAACTGGAAATGTTAAAATCGCCAAAGTTTTATTGAGCAACGGTGCAGATATAAATGCACAAGATATAAATGGATATTCGCCTTTAATGTTTGCCGTCATTAAAAATCACACAGAAACTGCAGAATTCCTTATTAACCAGGGTGCAGATGTTAATCTACGGGGTAGCAAAGATAACAGAACGGCCCTGCAAGCTGCAGCTGCAACTGGAAATGTTGAAATCGCCAATGTTTTAGTGAGCAACGGTGCAGATATAAATGCACAAGATATAAAAGGAAAATCGCCTTTAATGTTTGCCGTCAATAAAAATCACACAGAAACTGCAGAATTTCTTATTAACCATGGTGCAGATGTAAATCTACGGGGTAGCAAAGATAACAGAACGGCCCTGCATGTTGCAGGTTTAACTGGAAATGTTGAAATGGCCAATGTTTTAGTGAGCAACGGTGCAGATATAAATGCACAAGATATAAATGGATATTCGCCTTTAATATTTGCCGTCGATAATAATCACACAAAAATTACAGAATACCTTATTAACCATGGTGCAGATGTAAATCTACGGGGTAGCAAAGATAACAGAACGGCCCTGCATGTTGCAGGTTTAACTGGAAATGTTGAAATGGCCAATGTTTTAGTGAGCAACGGTGCAGATATAAATGCACAAGATATAAATGGATATTCGCCTTTAATGTTTGCCGTCTATAAAAATCACACAGAAACTGTAGAATTCCTTATTAACCAGGGTGCAGATGTAAATCTACGTGGTAGCAAAGATAACAGAACGGCCTTGCATGTTGCAGCTGCAACTGGAAATATTGAAATGTCCAATGTTTTAGTGAGCAACGGTGCAGATATAAATGCACAAGATATAAATGGATATTCGCCTTTAATGTTTGCCGTCGATAATAATCACCCAGAAACTGCAGAATTCCTTATTAACCAGGGTGTAGATGTAAATCTACGTGGTAGCAAAGATAACAGAACGGCCCTACATGTTGCAGCTGCAACTGGAAATGTTAAAATGGCCAATGTTTTAGTGAGCAACGGTGCCGATATAAATGCACAAGATATAAATGGATATTGGCCTTTAATGTTTGCTTTCATCACTAATCAAACAGAAACAGCAGAATTTCTTATTAACCAGGGAGCAGATGTAAATCTAGGTGGTAACAAAGATAAAAGAACGGTCCTACATGAAGCGGCTTTTACTGGAAATGTTACAATGGCCAATGTTTTAGTGAGCAACGGTGCAGATTTAAATGCACAAGATATAAATGGATATTCGCCTTTAATGTTTGCCGTCGATAATAATCACACAGAAACTGCAGAATTCCTTATTAACCAGGGTGCAAATGTAAATCTACGTGGTAGCAAAGATAACAGAACGGCCCTGCATGTTGCAGCTGCAACTGGAAATGTTACAATGGCCAATGTTTTAGTGAGCAACGGTGCAGATATAAATGCACAAGATATAAATGAAATGTCTCCTTTATTTACGGCAGTTTCCTTAAACCATGCGGAAATAGTTGAACTTTTATTAGCAAATACGAGTATTCGAGAAAAATAATAAGGAAACAGTGCTTTATATTTGGCGATATTAAAAAAAACGTACAAATAAAAAATATTTTGGTTCGAAATGCGGCCGACTTAACAGCAATGGCAAGCTTGAAATTTATTGTAAAAACTTTTGATTTGTATTTTTTCTTTCAAGTATTAAATAAATATCTTGAATTGTAAGTAAAACTTTTGAAGAATATATTTTGAATTTTGCAATTCTGGCTACTTTTAATTTTATTATAGTATATTTCTCCTTTTGTAAAAACATCAAAATCAATATATGTATCATATCAATATAACTACCTATTTTACAATCGTAAATTGTAGACATAAAAATACCTTTTGGAGTAAAATTTAAAAATGTTTTTTTAACTTTTTAAATACGTAGTACGAATTTAAAAAAACGTCAATTTCATTATTTTTTTATATATAGGTATATATATATAAAAAAATATTGAAATTGACGTTTTTTTAAATTTTAGCTATAAGGTAAGTGCGGGTAATAAGGCCCAGCAGGTTATAAGGCCCGACAGCCATTTTACCTTCATTTTTTAAATTATAATACTGGGGCTGCCATCTTATGATTTTACTAGGTAATATTTAATATTCGATAGAGTTCCGCCTTAATAAGATGTCGTTTGCTGATAGTAAATACAACAAGTGTTTCGACAACAAGTTTCTTTCGTAAAATTATAAAAATTGTGGTATTTTCCTAGAGCTGTGCCTAAAAAGCGTTTATTCAATTGCTGAGCCATTACAGGCAGTGTTGTAACAGTTACAATATTTTCAGTATCTAGCTACAGTTACAGTTACTTACCAAAATTTGTAACTAGATACAGATACATATTTTATTGCAGTAACTAGTTACAGATACAGTTACCTTCAAAAAGTATCTAGATACTTTAAGATACCTACATACAAATTATTTTTTGCTTTAAAAAATTTAAAATAGAAATAAAAGGGAATTTTAAAGTGACAAGAAAAATATACATGTTTATTATTTTTTAATTTTTTTTATAATATTTTATTTAAAATAACTTATTTTTTATAATATTTTTTTTTTAATAAATAATAGTCGCAGTTTAATTAAAAATGTATCTTTGTATCTTAACACACCTAGTTACTTAGAATTTGTAACTAGTTACAGTTATAGTTACTAGTTACACAAACAGATACGTATTATGTACATAAAAAGTATCTAGATACTGTATCTAGTTACTTGTAACTAGATACGTTACAACACTGATTACAGGTATGTATCAATACACATATTACCAATGTTTTCCTAGAAAATGATTGGTTTTGTACTATGCATGTCTGAGTTATAACCTTAAAACAAGGATCGTTACAAAGCAGATAATAAGGCCCACCAAATAATGAAACTGGGAAGAAACCCCAAAAGGCCAGCGGCTCGGCAACAAAATGCAAGAAGAAAGCGAAGATCAGTCAAACGGAGGCCACTGTAGAACCATCGACCTCGACAGAAAGCGCAGACGCCAACCCCGAGGAAGATTGGTTCTGCGAGCTTTGTGAACTGGATTTTAAGGCTGATATGCATCAGTGTGCCATGTGCCTCACCTGGGTTTATGAAGAATGTGTCGGACTGACGCCTGAGGATGAAGATGTGTTTATTTGTCCCAAATGTGCACCCTGAATGAATGGGCTTTATTATCTGTTGAGCATGAAATAAGGCCCATTAACGAGTTTTTTAAAAACCTAAAAAAATTTCTTTTTGTTTATTTCATTTGAGTTTATAAATGCTACAGTATATAGTATAAAGTTAATATATGTTTATGAAATAAAAAAAATTAAAAAATGTGCACGTTTTCTTTGTTTTTTTTAATATATTGCGTTAGGTGGGCCTTATTACCCGCACTTACCTTATAGCTAAAATAATTATCTATTATTAGCTATATAGCTAAAATAATTATCTATATATAGATACCTATAGGTAACCTTTGGTAACCTTAGTAACTTTGTTATACCCACAATCCACACAATTGGATTGTGGTTATACCAATGCACACTATAAATTCCCCCTAGGAAATTCCCTAGAGACTTTTGTTTAATTTTTTTATAACTGATCTATTCAGGTCAGGTAGGAAGGGTTTTTACCTGTTTAAAGTATTTTTCTATGTAGGTATTTCTATACCTCGTCTTATAATTTAAACGGTTCTTTTTCTTTGTAATGTACTACACAGCAAACGAAAAATTATAGAAGTGTATAGGATGACTCCGCGTTTGAATATCAAATCTTAAAGTTTTATCATAACTGTATTGAATCGTGCTTTGTTTTTATATTTTTCGGCTCTATACCTATGCACGACTATATTTAAAGTCAAACTCAATGGTGTCTTACAAGATACATTATTTTGATTTTCTATATTCAACAGAGGAGTAGAAACTCGACCCTGTCGAATGGTGCATTTATGTCTCTAGAAATTATTAAAACAGGGTTCAGTCTAATGGTGCAGCAACTTCGGATTCCTATTCTCCTCAGAGACATATAAACTCAAGCTTTTTGAATTTTACTGGCAATGATTTTCGTTAATGTCCCCGAGAATTATACAAAAACAGCGCAATGCAATATCGCAACGGTTTCGACTTCTCTTTACTCTACCAAGTTATAGAAACTGGAGTCTCTCTAATACTGTTCTAGTCAATATTTCTGAGAGTATAAAAAGAGGGTGTAATATTGCAAGAAGTTTTGATCTTTTGATGGATGCAAGTAGTTTAAATTTTCTCATTTCTGCATATGATTTTGTTGAAAATAGTTCCTTTCTTTGGTTCCTTTGTCTGATTTTTATTTACCGTAACAACGCAGGTATGTAAAGTACAGAGGATATGATGTTAAGTATATTTATGTATTATATAAAGTACCTATATTTGTATTAAAATTTTCAGAGGTTATGTTGATAAAATGATCGATATGCTATTAAACTTTAATAATTTAGTAATTAGGTCTGTTGGTAGACCCTGCACTATCTCCACTGGTATATGTTAGTTTTGTAATATTTAAATCTGGTTGATGAAAAAGTACACACCAGTGCAGGTTATTGTAGCATCTACGAACAAATGAATTAATGGCCCATTATGGCAATTATTCCTTTAGGAAAAATATTCAACACAGCTTAATTAATTAATAAAATGAAAAAAATCACAATCATGTCGTATAGGTAGGTATAGTTTTTTTTAAGCATAAAATAATTTTTATATTAATACTAGTTCAAAAGTGAAATTACGACCTCTATACTGTGGAGAGTATTGAAACGCTCGACTGACGAATACAACTCTATACCGTAGGGAGATTTAGAAAACGATATTCAAACGTGGCGTCATCCTATACACCTCTATAATTTTTCGTTTGCTGTGTATAACCTACAAAAATTATTGTCAGTTTGTGTTGTGCTTGTTTAAACAGGTTAAATAATCAGTCGTAAATTTTGTTGTTTTTGTTTTGAAGATGATTATTTTCTTAAATTTGTGGATTTAAATCATAAAGGTACCTATAAATTGTAATGTATTTTAACTTTAAACATGTTGGCAATTTTTGTTTTTGGTCATTGTACCTACATTATGTTTTTTACAGAAAATAATCTCATGGAAGAGAAAAAGGTTAATTTGATTGAGGACTTTGTCACAAATGATAGTATTTACATCATAGACTCTAAAGATGTAAAAAGGGAAAACCAATCACTTTTAGATGCTCTGGTTACCTTTGAAAAAGTACAGAGTTCTGTTGTTCAAAGAAATACTGAGGAAGGAAATCACAATGGAGAACATAGAAACAATTGTTTGGTTGGGTAAGTATTTTAGATTTAAAAATGCATACACAAAGTATGGTTAAATATCTTTACATTGGGAAAAACCAAAGAACAAAAAACAATTAGTACCAAAATTATTTTTTATTACTATTAAAAACGTGGCGTTAATCATACAATTGATTTGGTTTTATTCAGGAAAGATACGCTTTTGGAAAAACAATATTTTGGAGTTGAAAAACCTGATCCAGTGTGAAATTAAGTCCAAAACTAAACCAAATCAAACCAATTAACCTTATTCCACTGCTTCATGTCATTCTATTCAGGAAAACCAATGATACCACCACACCTGTTACCAAAACTAAAAAACCAAGGCTGTAAATATTTTTTTCTAAAACGCTCATTAAATTTACATTTTATTGAAGACAAAAAGCTTCCAAAAAAATTATGTTGTTCACCTAAAAAGTAGCCATTTCGCAACAGTAAAAATATGGGCGTTTGTAACAAATCTCGCTTCAGACGCTTGCAAATTTTTAAAAACACTCTGTATAGCACCAAAATATATCAATTGAAAGTATAACGTGCACTCAAAAAATGGTAAAAATTGATCAACGCGTTCTCAAGTTATCAGAAAAAAAGAAAATTAAGCCCTCTGGCGGCGGTTCAATGAAGCGGCTTTGGATATAGGTTAGGTGGGTTAAACGGTCTATTTTGAATCTATGGTGTTGCGTTGTACGCGTATTTTCCGAGTAATGATCTTTTTGATACTGAGATGCGATTCAAATAACGGCCCTTGGTTCTTATTCGTCGAAAAATAAACCGGTTTTCTATCTTTTAACGCTGGATTAAAATTGTTTTAGCCGCGAAACCTCCAATACGCGTATTTCCAATGATTGTATTGAGTTGAGTGATTCTGATGGAGGGTCTGGGCGTTACCAAGGCAATACAGACATTAAGGAAGAAGAAGAAGAAGAAAATCATTGCCTGGATGATTTTTATGTTGAAACCGAGTAAGTTTTTTAATTCGCGCAATGATTAACAAAACCTACGTTTTATAGATCAAAATTTAAAAAAAATACATTTTGATTTTTTAAAGTTTAATTTAAAGCATTTAAAAATCGGCAACATTGCGTGAATTAAAAACGATAATAATATTATGTTAGATATCCATGGTATTTTTTGGCGGGCGAATCCTAACTTTGCCACAAATATTTTTAGATCCGAAATCAACAATAGTGATGAAGATTGT